GCCTTATAAGCAACCCCAGGACTCCTCCCCTAAGCGATGTGGGACAGAGAGATGCCCCCCTTGCCATTCTAGAAGCCTGCCAGGAGCCGCTCCTTGTCTAGGTCTTTGAACCACAGCGACCACTCCCCGCCCTCGTCGGACCGGGTCGTTACATGAAGAGTATTTAAATTTCTGATTTGGGGTTTTGAAATGAAATCAAAACATATCTTTTTGCCTAATGTTTCGGTTTCAATTCCTTTTTCAAAAACTTTAAAAGGTTGGATTAAATTGATAAAAGGTGATCCCAAAATAACATTTTGTTTGATGTTTTTAACAAGAAGAAAAGGAGTTTTATAAGAAATTTGGTCTTTTACAACTTTGGCGTCAGGAATTTTATAGCTTATGTTTAGCTTATCTCCGGATGCTGACTTGAGGGATTGGGAAGTTTTTTCAAAGTATTTGGTTGGTATAAGACATTCTTTTATACAATTAAGATATGCACTAGTGTAAAAAATGATAGTTGTTTCTAAAATAAATTACGAACTTTTATAGTAATATTGATAATCCATTTTCTGGTCGTTATCTCAGAGAACATTAAAAGGAAATTTGTATAAGAAGAAGAAGGGAGTTTAGAAATTTCATTTTCTTCAAAATCTTCTTCCTTTTGTTTTTCTTTTAAATTTTTCATTTTAATATCCAAAATTTCTCGTTGCATAATTATCTAAGCAGCTTTGAGATTATGGATTTCTTGCTTTTGTTTATTGATTTCGTGATTAAGATCACTTATAGAAATGGTTTTAGAACTTGCTTTCTTTTCTTTACCAAGTATGGTAGAAATATTATAAGGATTATCAAACTGGAAAATTGGCTTGAGCTTTTGGAAATTATTTAAATATTTTATTTTTGTTTCCAGGTTAGTGATTTCATCAAAAGTTTGTAAAAGAATTTCTTCTTCTTTTGTCAAAACATTTATTTCAAAATTGGTGGCATCTTCATCTTCACTTTCTAAAGTCGAGGATGAAGAGGTTTCTAAATCATAAATCTGCAAACCTTTTTCAAAACTAGATTCATCAGAAGAACTGATGTTAGCTTCAGTCATTATTTGGTTGAGCTGATTGATGGTTTCTTCATCTAAATCTAACTCATTAACGTTTTTACTAATTTTACAATATCTAGAAGTATGGCCTTTCTTGCCACAATTATAGCAAGTAATATTTTTAAAATTCTTTCTTGGTTTCTTGGTTTTATCAAAACTTTCATTTTCCTTTTTCTTGGAAAACTTTTTGTCGAATTTCTTCTTATAAGGTTTTTTATAAGATTTCTTTTGATCTTTTTGTTTAGGAAAACATTTTCTTGAACATTTAGATTTTTCAAAGGATTCAAAAGATGGATCATACTGGGCACAAAAATCTCCTAATCCTTTATTAGAAAGTTTTTGTTCCTTTTTTATCTGTTTTTGAAGACGAATATTGGTACACAATTGTGTTCCTATTTTATAAACATAAGAGGTTAATTCACCATAAGAAAGATGGTCATATAGAATTTGGTTTCCATATTCTTCTCTTCTCTTATTGCGAACTTGTTCCCCTATGAGTTTTGGTAAACCAGCAAGAAATTCTTCTTTCCAAAAAGGTTGGTTACAATCTATTCTTTGGAAAACTCTTTGTAAAAATATTTCTTTATATTCTCTCAATTATCCTAAGGATCTACATTTCATATTGGATAAAAGGTCTTGATTTTTGTCAAGAATATGATAATAATCTCCTAAAAAATTGTTGGGATATAGAGAATATCATAGTATTAATAGCATCTTGAATGGGTTGGTCATTTTCATCAAATATATTTTGACCAAAATTGTCGACTTTATAAGAATTTAAAATTTGAGACCTTTGCTCATCATTCAGGTAGTTATCCCACCATTCTTTGAGCTGGCCAGTAAAACCGGCTATTAAAAGATAGGCAACAGAATGGTCAGAAGTGTCTGGAATGGTTTTATAAGTATTAGCAAGCATAACCATTTGAGTCAAAACATTTATGAGGTTTTGTTCAGAAACACTATCTATATTCCATTCATAAATTGCATTAGAAGAATATTTGTTTTGGGGTTTTGAAAAGGTTTCTTCTGTGAGAATGTCAGGAGGAGTAGCTTGGGAGTAATATAATTTTTGGGGATCTTTCCAAGTGATACGATTTATTTCAGGAATTGATTCAGTATTAGATTTATCCAAAAGATTGATTTGATTAGAAGGTTCAGTACGATCAGGAGTGTCTTTGACACTCAGGTTTTGTATTAAAGGGGTGTCTAGGATCAAAGGGTTTTTGGGATTTAAAACTGCTTTTCCTTTGAGGAGTTTTCTCCTGTCTTCTAAAGCTTTAGCAAATTCAAGACTGAGATTTTTTGGAATTTCAAAATTCTTAAAGAGCGGTGTTTTTAAATCTTTTTTAGAGGTTACTTTTGAAGAGGATGAAAAGTTATTTTGAACAGAAATTTCTATTCGGTCTAATTGTTTTCCTATAGTATGAAGGTGTTGATTTGAAAAATTGTTCTGTTCAACAATCTTTTTTATTCCTATGCCATCTATCTCAGAAACTGCTTTAAAAGGAGAAGCTATTATTATTGTTTCTCGATGTTCAAACTTTATTTTTCTAAGAGGAGGATGATTAGACTCGATGACTTGGTCATTGTCTAATTTCCATTTATAAAATTGGTCCAGAACAAAAATCTGTTTTTCTTCCAAAAATTTATTTTCAAACCAATCAAAGAAGAATACTTGGATTTCATGTTGGTACATGTAATCATAATACTCCCTTTTGATCTCGAGTGCTTGTTTTTGAAAATTCTCAAAGATCCATTTTCTGATTTGTTTGTTTTCAAGAGAATTAAATTCTTGGTTTAAAATTATTTTTTCTGGTTCAAAAATAGTTTCAGGGTCTTCCATTTCAGAAGGAGTTGGATCAGGGAAATCAGGAGTATGTTGATAAACTTGCTTGGAAATTCCCGACCTGCTATCTATACCACTGATATTTGGAAGAGGGGAAGCACTTGCAGATACTTCCTCAGAATTATTCAAAGGAATGTTAGGAACAGTGTCTATAGATCTTCAAGAAGAAGTGGAATGCCAAGAAGGAATTGATCTGATGTCACAAGACCTCCTAGGGATATCAACAGCTCTTCTGGAAAATTGTATGCATATATATATATATATATATATATATATATATATATATATATATATATATAGACACACACTCGAATAGACATGATTTTAGTAGATATTAAGGATGAGAGAGACATTAAATTACTGATACATGAGTTTCCAAAATAGTTGCTTTCTCGATAAAGGGTAAAATAGTCAATAAGTTTTTATTCACACTACGTCCTGATCAAATTTTGTTTGTGTAAACGAGTCTCCGCAAATTGAATATTGATAAGTAGCTCAAATAAAAATTGATAATTCACAACAAGTTGGTCATTTAATCTAACAAAAGTCAATGACTCGATCTAATTTAGATTGGTAATTTATGTAAGAGGTAATAGATTTGAAACTTTAGTCAGTTTTGTAAATAAAATAAAAAAGTCAATCGGTAGCAAATATCGTTAAGCTTACAAAAATTGGTTGGTTTTTTGTTATAAATATACTAACAGATTAAACCCCCATAATTGACACAATTGGTTGGATCGTTAGAGGATTTCCAGCTCAACTGGAATTCACCCGTTTAAATTCCACCAAAGTATGGGCAAACTGGTTTAAGTCAAGACACGGTTGATGTACTTCACCAGCAAACTGCTTCTAGAAGAAGATGAGAACTCCTCTTCCTCCTCAGCTACCGTCGAGGAAGATGAAGTTCATGTACTAAAAAATGACAGGCACACACCGAATCTCTTGCTTTTTGTTAATTTCAATCCTCTTACTATTGTCTTGTCATCAGATTATACAGGCAGCGCGGTAGAGATCCCGATATCTTACCTGACGATGGCGTGACTTCTCCTCGTGGCTTGCTGAATGATGAAACTGAAAGGGTCAAGAGCAGCGAATCTCGCGGCGCCTCAGCTAGGCATGTCGAGGTGGCAGAATTAGAGATGCTCCTAGAGGCATACTCTGTGCAAGTTGATGGCACGCTCAACAAGCTATCTACAGTATGAATCTCATGCTTTCTCTCTGATGACAACTAAATTTTCTTATGATATCATGTACCCATAAAGAGACACTGAACAACCTTTTCGCCGTGAGATTAATAGCTTAATTCGTTAGTTCTCTTTTGATATTTTCTGATCTTAAAGCTGAAAGAGTCGACAGCTTAAAGAGTATGTCGACAACACAGAGGACTACCTGAACATAATTTTGGACGACAAACAAAACAATCTTCTGCAGATGGGAGTGCTGATAACAACCGCTGTTCTGGTGATCAGCCCGCACATAGTCGTTGTCAGCGTAATGGGCATCAACATCAGTATCTCGCTTTGGCATCCCCCAAATCAGTCCCAAGGAAGACTTCCTATGGACCGTCAGCTTGTGCACCAGCGGGACCATCTTACTATGTGTCAGCGTAGTTGCGTGGTACAAATACAAAGGATTGCTATATTGGGCATGTAGAAATTTAATATCTCCCGAAAATACACAAAATGTATAGGATTGGCTTAGGTGGACACCCTCCAAGGACATTGTGCTATGACTACTGCAAAACTGTAATTCTGCACTTGTAGCTCATGTAATCTTGAAGCATATTGACACAAGCAGAGATGATTCCCAGTAAAATGAAGTAGAAACGAGAAGAATATATAAAGAGATTCTACTGCATTGATTATCAATTTTGTAAAATGAGACAGAATTTGGCCAGAGATTAAGGACCAATGCATGTTGACAGAGAACTGGTTACATGGAAGCTAGTATGAGCCCTTTGGCATGCCCTACATGCGTATTCTTGAGGTGTTCCTCGATGGAAATATCATAAAAGAATGAGCAGAAGCAAGAAACGAACAGTACGCAGAAAACAATGATTTGTGTTCCCAAGAAACTATATAGAGAAGAAATATGACCCCGACATGGATATCCTCGTCTTCAATTCTGCCATTGACACTGAGTACATATGATCGATATAATGATGCCCATTGCCTTCCCAAATACTCACAAACAGTTCACTTAAAAAAATCAGTGCAACATTTTCTGCAGACAAGAACTTGATAGAGGCCATCCTTTGAAAGAGTCGAGCAAAAAGAGAATGAGGATGCCTAATAAATCAAAAGCTGCTACAAGAATTTCACCATTAATCTGAGTCCATGTCCTGGGAAGGATGATTATCAGGAGGATTTTTCGTTCTAAAATCATTGACAGCTTTCTCAAATGTGCCCCTTATGTGTTGACACATCAGCATTAGACCTTGGCACGCATCTTTCAATACATCTCTTGCTGGATCATCTGAGAAACACCACGTTAAAGATTCAAACAGAGTAGAGTACATGAAAAGCCACCCTGGAGATCACCCGAGAAGAAATGCTAAATGACCAACAGCTCCATTGGTTACACAAGGTGGGGGAAGATGAATGCGAGAAACAAAAGCTAGGCCTAATGCCTGGGAAAGGGAGGCCTCTACTTGTCAGGGCAATCCTCTCCAATCTTCTGTGGAAGAAGTTTCATGGCATTAAGGTGCTAAGTTAAAACAGAGAGTTGGTCAAATTTTGAATGACTTAAACAGTACTGGGTATGGCAACATGTATTCAAGATTCCATTAAGTGCTGTGCGGATTCCATGAGCTCATCAACCATTTTTTGACAAAATCCGGCAACACTTTATCCTTATTTCCTGGTCTACCAATCCATAAAAAGGTAACAAAACCAACGACAATTTCACACTATAATATGATGTTTAGAAGCAAAGCAAGGCATTACAACTACATCACATCTCTTAGGCTTGACATAGCATAAAATACCTGTCGTTTGAACTCTAACATTAACCCGGGCTTCCGAAGGATGAGGAATGCTGTAACCACAAAATATAACCCGTGGACTGCAGAATAGACACAACGCGCATTAAAACTATATGGAATCTAAACTTACCAAAAACAGGCAAGCTGCAAATTAGTAAGAATAGAAAAAAATCAACAAGACTGAAGTCTACTAAAAGATCCAACTAAATTCTACACCGTGGAGAAAAGGGAAATTATAACAGAAATGTTCCAGTTAGTAGGTTACATAACATTTTTCCAGTTATATTACTCCTAACGAACAAGATGAGTAACTAAGGCATTATTCACAGGTTCTACCCAATGAAAAGAAAAGGTAGGAAATAACCTTCATTTTGACAGAAAAAAGAACATTGAGGATGTGATAATGATAGGTCAAAACTCAAAACCAAATAAACTACCCAATTAAAATTCTTCCTTTTAGTAAGTTTACTGCTTAATAACATCCCTGCTCCTGATGTTTAACACTTGCATGTTGATATTGACCAAAACGATTAATGGATAGATGATCCTACTATGTAAAGATCTGACAAATAGCACCAAGTACAGTAATGTAGTACTGACTCTTGATTCGAGGTAAATCTGAGGGCATTTGCAAGTGTATGATCCTCCTCAGCAAGAGAAAATGTGGCATTCCGTTGATCTCCAAAGGATGCGTGTTCCATTAGTAACAACTACTGCACAAGCAAGATATTCCAAAAAGTTGATAAAAAATATCACTAACCCTGCTCAGAGACATGCCACAGAGAGAGAGAGAGAGAGAGAGAGAGAGAGAGAGAGAGAGAGAGAGAGAGAGAGAGAGAGAGAGAGAGATTTCATAATTTACAGATAGGAGATTATCTTCATATAAAGATTCATCTACTATGACCCCGAAGAGAAATACTACTTTCCTCAGAACAGCAATTCTTCGAAGAAATATTTTCTACCACAGTTAATATCCTCCAAAAGTCAATAAACATAAGCTGCCGAGCTTGAATTCAGCAACAGACTCAATTACAACGACCGATTTGTTTTACTCACTCTTCAGTAAAACTTAACTCACAAGACCACAGTCAACTTATCAGAAAGACACAACTCGCCGCACTTGACCTGCTCAGCAATCAAAGCACTCACTTATCTCCCTTCCACACGGCTCACCTGCTGCACACCACACTCATCCCACTCATCCTCTCCCAATCTTTTGATCTCAGTCTCGGTGACAACTGCCGCCTCACTCTGGCCTGATCTTTCCTAGTAAATGGCCTACTTATTTGACGAAAAATCAGGACACTAACAAATCAATATGGAGAGAGAGAGAGAGAGAGAGAGAGAGAGAGACAGATGGTACATTTGTTTCACGGAAAGCTCAAGATTTGGAAAACATTTTCCGAAAAAATGATCATCCGTATTGCTTACGGAAATAAATAAACGAAATTTTTTTCCATCATCTACGAAAATAGTTAGGCATAAATAGTTATCGATAATGAAAAACTTTCCGTTCACCAATTTTTCTAAGCCATATATCCAATTACTTTTCGGAAATCTTGAATTTTTCCGAGAAACAAACGCACCCAGAAATTTGTCACGAGTTGGAGTGGCGTTTATCATTCAACATGAAATGGGTCTCGAATTCTTTTTTCCAAATATAAAGATAAAAATCTTCAATAAAAAGACCAAGATTCGAATAAACAGAAAACGCAACATGTAACTCGTTCCTCATTCAGCTTTTAGACCACACACACGAACAGAAGGAAAAACGCAGAGGAGCGTGAGAGGATCCCCTTCACAAATTGAGTCAGCACAGTCGATTTTTTCACGAATTCCCACCTACCCACTTCGCTAACAATCCTACTACGACCAAGATTCGAGTAGTCAGCCGCATGAACGAAGAAAAAAATACAAACTTTCGCAAACGAACGGCGATTTCGCCGAGAGATAAGACCCTCCCGCGGAGCTAAACGGCAATGCTCGAGAGGGCCAAGGAACTAAACTGTGCAAAAGAGAGAGGGACACGGAGACGTGTAGAGACGGGGAGCGACCTGAAGAGCGACGGACGATCGACGACGGCGGACGGCGGCGAGCTGGGGAGACCACCGTGGCGGTGGCCGCGCGAGGGAGGGGGAAGTGAGGGCGTGGAGCGCGTGACGGAAATAGGACAAGGGGTTTTTATGATTTGGACAAAATTTATACCATACGGCATATAGATGGAAATTACATCAATTTGCATAATATATGAGAAAAAAAAACAGTTAATATCACGAATAATCCCAAACCAGTTCATCCGTGATAAATTTATCCAAAATAAATTTTTTAACCACAAAAAGGCCCACACCGGTACACATATGATAATTTGCTGAGTTGGATAACATGTGACAGTTGATGAGTGTACGATTTACCCTCCATTTGTTACATGTGTATCAGTTTAGGATTTTTCGTGGTATTAATCCAATTTAACGAAAACTAACAAAAATTAATTTTATAACAAGTGTATTAATTTGTGATTTTTTGTGGTAAAAAATTAGTTTGGGATAAATTTATTACAGGTATAACAGTTTTGGGTTTTTCGTGATATTAACCAAAAAAATAATTACATAAATACAAATATAACCATCTAAATGACAAACTTATGGAAAATATTATAAATATTTAATAATGGGATTATGCTAATCTCTCTGCTTATGTAATGAGATATTAAGAGAGTATCATGTTTATACATAAATAATAAGATGAATAATAATAGGCATATTCCGTCGTAAATTGACTAATGAAAATATGTGAAATAAGTACATGATTTAGTGTATGATCCGGTGCACCAATACTCTAAGTGCGTTTGTTTGTCCTATTTTTAGTTGAAAGTATCAAAATGTCATACAAATTTAAAATTCATGAAAGATATATGACAATTTGTGTATAAGATTTTGAGTATTTTACTTTAACAAATATCAAATGTGTGTCTTAAATTTTTTTTTTTTTAAAAACATGAACGGGATACAGTAATCCTCAATGAATAGAAAGCATTTTCATGTGTATGCATGATGGGTTTGAGACAACTGACCTCGTCCCAAACTCATAACAGGTTTTGATATAAGATCCCAAATTCGCCTCATCAAAGTTATCGAGTTCTTATTGGGTATCCATAACCCGCGATATTATTATTTTAGTAAACATATATATCACATTATATACATAATAAATTGTGTCAAATTTGCAAAAACAATAATTTATCCAAAACTCATGCACTGTGAAATTCAATTAGAAAACCTACAAAGTAGAAAAATACATCCAAGACTGAAAAAGCTTCAAGACCAACAATCTCAAAAATCCAAAATTGAACAATCCTAAAATGAGATCTCACGACGGTGGTTGTCACTGAAAAAATTCGATATTATCTTTAGAGATCGACAAAATTACATAAGTAAATTTAAGTATTTAGTGAATGTAAAAGACGTCCTAAACTTAAAAGGATTACGATAATAATGTACATATGCTAAATAACTTATGAGATAAGTGCATTGGAAATCCTAAAACTTATCACGAAAGTGCAATTAAGTCTTAAAACTTTCAAAAAGTGTAATCAAATATTAAAACTTGTCAAATTGATGCAATCAAGTCCTAAAACTTATCAAGTTAGTGCAATCAAATCCTAAAAATTATTAATATTTTTTGTTTGTCAAGTTGGATAAAATTAATGGAAGGAGTTAATTGTACTAAATTGACAAGTTTTAAGATTTTGAAAATTTTAGGACTTAATTTTGATTTCGTGATAAGTTTTAGAACTTGATTGCACTATTTGAAAATTTTAGGACTTGCTCACACTTTCGTGACAAGTTTTAGAATTTCTAGCACACTTATCCCATAGCCTAAAGTTTTTAAAAGAAATAAGGTCATTTTAATCATTATAGTATATCAAGCCAGGTATCGTAAAATTTCAAGCCTGTCTCAAACTTTATGGGGTTTTTTACGGTTCATTCCATACCTGTCCGCCATTTGAAACCATTCTCATCTCATTGTTACTAGTTACTACAATATATTGGGATTGAGTGGATAAGAACAGCAAGTGTGTCACGACTTCGTATAACGCTTACTTGAGTGCCATAACGTTTTTTTGTTTACTTAAGTGCCATTGACGATTTACCTCACCGAAAAACCCGATGTAGATGATAGTCGTCCTCATGGCTTCGCCGGCGCTGACATAGATAATTTTTAAATTTTTTTGATTTAATATTATTATTTTTATTTTCTTTTGTTTTGTTTTTTTTATTTTACCAGCGAGGGTCACCGAGGTCTCACCCAGACCGGGCAAGGGTCACCTTGCCCGCGGCTGGTGGGGCCGTGAAATCCCTAGCCCAAATCTGGCATGGCCATAGTGGCCTCGGCAGTTGCAAATGGTCACGCGAAGGCCCTCGCCATATTTGGGCTGGGGCCTTCATGACCTTGCCAGCCATGGGCAAGGCGACCCTTGCCCAGATCCAGCGAGGCTGCCATTGCCCTAGGCAAGGCTTTCACGTCCCCACTGGTCACTGGCATAGGCATTTGCGGCCTCCTTGACCGCGGGCAAGGTGGCCCTTGCTTGCGGTTGTGAAGGCCCTCACTTGCGGCAGTCGATGGCCTCGCATAGGGCCTTTGCGCCCCACCGACCGATGGTGAGGTGGCCCTCACATAGTTTGGATGAGCCCTTCATGGCCGGCGAGGATGGTCAATACAAAAAAAAAAAGCAAAGAAAAAAAAGGAAAAGAAAAATAAAAAATTCTAAATTGTAAAAAAAAAGTAAAAAAATCTACATGGCAATGAAAAGTTAAGTAAAAAATCATGTAAGACGATTTGCCGAAAATAACACTCAAATGATCGATTTTACTTCGATGTGACTAGGGATGTGGAAAATAGATCACCCAAACCAGGAACCGCTCGGACCGGACCGAACCGGCCGATTGGATCCGGTTCCCGAGAGTGTCGATCTGGTTCCCTGTTCCTAAAAGTAGAACCGGTGTCCGGTCAGTAACTAGACAAACTACATACAATTTTTTTTTTCTTCAAAAAATTAGTAAAATGTGAACTAAACCCTAAGTGACGTACGTTTTTTGGTTCGTCCTTTTAATTTGAGGATCATTACTGATGTTTGATCATTCATGATTGCAAAATAATCCTTATCTTTCAATGATTGATGGATTTAGTTTATTGTTTTCGATTTGCAATTTATAAATCCGTTTTTTAATTTTTATTTATCGTAAAAGATATATGAGCACATTGTTAAGATTCTTTTACTCAGATATTTTTCTAAAAAACGTAATAGGAAATACGAAGATATGGCATCAAGTAGTGTGAAAAAAAGAGTGATCAATTTCATTGGATCAGACCACCCGATTCTACTTTAGAATCGGATTGGATCGAGAATTGATCACCCCTGAATAGAAAATTTAAGTCAGAAAAAAAGAGTGGACATTTTACGAAACTTACGTCACTCGTGTTCAATTTCCTCGGACCGAACCGTGCTTTACTCCGCATCCTGTAACCCAGTTCTGGTCCAAAAAAAAATGGTCGAGCCTTTCGTAAGTGATCTTGAACTACTTCATGGAGGGAAAAGGGCGAATCGATTTTCATGGAAGACGAAGGTTACATGCGTCATTGTTCTGTGTGAGCTCGCGAGCGTCGCTCAAGTGTAAGTCCATCAAATTCGTCTCTCGTTATCTCGACCGTTTCTCTCGTCATCAGTAGAACATCTCCGCCGAGGCTGCTGTTGGGCAGCTAGCAGGGGTTGCTTCATAGTTCTGCTGTGTAGACTGTGCACAGAGGCTGATCGAGTTGCTGATTTGCTGTGATGGTTAGCTCTCTCTCTGATAACCCATCACCCTCTTTTTCTCCCACAAGAATTCCTTGCTTTAATGTGGCCGAAACTAGTGGAAAAAAAAATGTATTGGGTCTTGCCATCTTAGTTCGCAAAGAAGTCGTTCAGATATCCCGAAGATGTAGCTGTGTTAACATGGTGGGATCACTGAAGGAAAGGAATAATTCGCGGGCTAGGCCAGCTATGACTTCATATTAGGAAATGTAACGGCATGAAAAATGAATTCCTAATCATCCCAATTGATGATTTGTCTGTAGTGTCGTTCTTCATGTCAAATGGTAATTTAGATGAAGACCCCTAAAAGGGTAAGGAATGATGGAGTCAATCCAATCAGGACATAAAAAGTGAAGTTCATGCGGATGGTCACATACTTGCTCTGTATGTCATATGGCTTTGAAAGAGCTGGATGTATTTGTAATTGACATGGAATGAGCCGTACACATGTTGCACGACTTCAGCCAGATTCAGGGGTAGCTCAATTGATTGACCCATCTGCCTGTGACTTCATGTGTGATTAGATACTATGCTTATTTGGTGTATCTTCTTGTCTGCATACTATGTTTCATCCTATCCAGTGCATTACGACACAAGGTATACTCAGAATTGTTATACTGGCTTGAATTTTCAATTTGAAGCAGTTTTTCTTATTTGCTTCTTGGCTGTGCGAGGCTGCTCGGTTGTGTACATATGGTTGCAAATTGATCTATGGAAGTAGTGTACATTTTGTCACAAAAGGAAGCTGAACGAACTTTCCGATACGTGCTCTTCTTTCCGAATCTCTTCATTCTTTGTGTTTGTATGTCACATAGCAATAGAGAGGTCCATCCTTTCTGACCCATTCTCGTACACATAATGTGTGGATTTTGAACTACAATTGCAAATTTTTAAATTGCTCAGAAACTGCAGAGGTCACACTTTTGGAAGAACAGCAGCGATCAGGACTATAATTAGAGTAGATTTGGCAATGCAAACCTTTTAACATATGTCGGTAGAACAAAGAGGACAACTTAGCCAATGATGGTGAATACCTTTGGGCATGTTGTCTTGCCTTTGTTATTTATTGACATGTTTTCATTTACATAGATAAAGTGTTTGTGCAACGGTTCTGAGTTTTAGACGTGACATACCATATCTTGAGGTCTTATTGCTGGGTATACTAGTTTGTTGTTTGAAGAGAACTCAACACTTGTAGAAGCTTGAGCTTTTTAACTGACTGCTAGCTTTCGACACAATACGGCTGATAACCATCCACGGTCCGAACTTGTGCTAATGCAGTTGCAATCTGGTTCACAGTCAGATCTGTTGTGAGAAAGAAATGGCCTTGATTGAAAATATGTTCTTCAAAATAATTGAGTTGGAAATCTACCCCAGATTGGTTGCTTCTAGAGGGGCTTCTTTACTCTGAGGCTGTGGCTGGCTTAGCTGGAGGTTTGAAGGTGCAAACAAGTCAAGTACTATGGTCGTAGTTGATGGTTCATGAGGATATTGATTAGCTTGATTCACATCCCTTGCTGTATAAACCTGTGGATTAAGAAATTTGTCAGTAAAATAAAAGATGAGTAATTGATTGATTGTGGTTTCTATAGATGTAAACTTGTCATCTGAACTAATACCTTCTTTCTCAATGCATTATTTTCCTGAAGGAAGGGACTTATCTTCTTATGCAGCTCCATGTTTTCCTGATGCATCACGTTTCCCTGTAATGAATTAAGCTTATGTGAGTCACTTGATAGTTGATAACCATATTATTGGAATGAAGTCGCCAGGTTTGTGAAAACCTTTAGGTTCAGCTCTTTTATCTCGCCAGAGAAAATTTGCTCCTGCAGAGAAAGAATTACCAGAATTATTCCTCGCATATATTTAGATAGTGGTGTCTTTTCCTGGATTTGGTGGTAATACAGAAACAATGTTTGACAGTTTGAGGCAGACATTCAGCTATTACCTTTTTGGCACGGATGCCCTTTAGGCTCATCTCCAGTCGGTTTTCTAGATTTTGCAGATCTTTGACATTGAGGCCAGAGAGTTGTTCTCCCATCAACTGCCTGTGTGAGTCAGATTGAAGAGAAAATATCATGCTTCGACTCGAGAGCTTATCAATTTCCTGCTACATTTTGAAGATCATATGTCTCTAGATACTTGACATTCTGATAGCATATCATATCAAGAGGCATCCCGCACTCTTTCCAATTATTTAGTTAAGTGAATGTACATTCTTCTAATGTATAATTTGCCTCATTTTCAAATCTAGAAGTTGTCATGACGAGTTGCTTTAGCAATTCTGAAAGGACTTTACTGATTATATCAACGAAATTAGTCTATTTTAAAGTCTTGGACACAGTGTAGCTTCCCAAGATAGTACAAACTCAAGGAAGCCTTCTGGATTTCTTTTTGCTGGCAGCTCAGCCAAAATAACCGAGAAAGTATACCCCAAATGTGATAGTTTCTGGATTTCTTTGTCCTAGCAGCTCATCCAAAATAACTAGAAGTATACCCCTAATGTGATAGTTTCAAAATGTATTCCTGAATTCATTGTCCCCTCTGCCAATAAAATACTTGTTGGGCCTAATCCACAAACACGTTCTTCATGGACTAAGAAGATCTATTTGGTCGCAACAAATAATACTTTATGCCACTTCTGCCAGGACATTAGTAGCTCTCTTGAATCATTTACATATCATGTAGATAGAATATGCTTGGCTGAGTGATTATGCTAAATGATTATAAGAGAAGTTGTTGTCTTCTTTGATTATGAAGTAATTACTGTGTTGCACTATCTACTGTAGGTTTCATCTGCTCAACACAAATATTCTCAGTGCATATATTGAGAAGAGGACATATATATCTTGTTCTCTCCTCGGACATGGATAAGTTGTGCATGTATTTTCCTTGACTAGACATCACATGGGGTTAAACCTTTGGCTGTACATTACAAACAACGGACAACTTTTTGCACTAAGTGGAGTTAATTATATGAATCTTTGACACCATGGCAATTTGTACTTTGTAAATGGATTCTTGATATTCCTCAATCTACAAGATGATAATTTTAACAGATGCTAACAGTTGGAACAGAAATTTTAATTCAGGTAAGCATGCTAAGTATCATTTAGTGATATAATTGGAAGACTCCTCAATCCTTTTGGAAGTCCACATCTACTTCATTCATGTACATTTCTCCAAAAACTCATGACCAAGTGGAAAAGTACTGTACCTGTGGCGCTCTTGCAGGTGCTGCAGCTGTTGTCTTAAGCTTGCGACCTCTCTTTGGCAATGCTGGGAACATCAGAGAAGTAGAATGACAGAAAAGTTTATGAATGGGAAGGCATTAGTGTGGTGCATGTTTTACAATGGGAAAGTTCTCAAAGTGTTACATGGATTTCAATGGCGATAATGACTGATAGGACTGATGGAACGGATAATCCTAAGACTGAGTAGACTAGTACAATTGCAGGCAGGGTTTATAAGGTAAGAACCTGCATATGATCTTTTTCTAATGGATGCTTTCTGGATTTTTTACTCAAAAGTACATGTTTTGGGAATTCTATTAGAGGTGGTGAAGTATTATGTAAGCATACAGAAGTGACTTTACTTCTTTGAGTGCTGATTAAATTAACTATAATAGTTTCAACCGATTGAATTTGTTGTTTGATCAGTGAAGCATTCGTAGAAAGTAGGGTTCCCAAAGCAAGTAAACTGGAAAAATGTGCAACCATGCAAATAATAGTTGGAATAGACTAGCTGTTGATCATGTTGTAGATTATAATATGTGTTGCAATGTTTCAAAAACCTGTTAATAGTGTCACACAATCAAATATTTAAAAGCTCAAACTTTACAATGTTTCATAGTTCTATGCACATGAACCTTGCTGGTGCAACCTGCGAGTGCACTTGCACTGCGCTCGTCCACATGGATTTTGTTCGTAGAAATGCACTCATGAACCGGTCCACCAGCTCATGAGTCTAATCACTCTGTTTTTGAATTAGCTCATGCACAGGATTATGCATCATCTCAAATGAGGCAACATGTGCCTTGCTCAACCAACCGCGAGACAGCCCATAGTTGCCGGCTCACAACCCTTTTGGAGTGCACATGGCCTTCCCCAACACTTAAACACCCCAAGTCCCGCATAGAGTAGGAGAGGGATGTTGAGTGCTCGATATATACGTAGCCGCCAACTCCGAAAGGTCACCGCCACCTTGAGTTCTCCTTTTGTTGGGGCTTAGCTCACGTGGTTTGGGCCAGGTTGTAACAAAGGATATCAAAGTAATGCATCGGCCAAAGTGCAGGATTTATCATATATTTTTTATATGGTTTTGGGCTTAATGGGTTGAACTCTATGGGTGACAATGATATTGGCATTATTGCTACACGAGGGGGATGAGATTGTAAGACCATAGGTCGTAGACAGAGTGAGAGAGAGATTGCACTGATACATAATTAGCAGCCTACCCTTGTGGTCACAACCAATTTGAGTAACTCTTTCAAGGATTTGGCTCATGTAGTTCCTGCCGAATTGTTACAAATAGTCCATGCATTAAGGGTGTGAGATTTTGTGGGACCATTGCCAACTGTTTTAAAAGCTTAAGCTTTTAGATGAAGGTGTGGTTTAATAATTAATTATTCTAACACTCCCCTCACGCTTAGTCTGGTCTTTTTGCTAGTACTAAGTGTGGACATATATAATTAGGGAGGCAAATGGAGCTTGGAAAGATAACTTGGGACCTACAACTCTAATATCACGTGAGATTTTGTAGGACTACTGCCAATTGCTTTAAAAGCTTAAGCTTTCACACCAAGGCGTTTTCTCATATTTAATTATCCTGACAAGGGGACTTGTGCACCATCGGCTTGCTGCCCTCATACCCATGCTTTACTCTGTCAAGCACATCCCTGCCCGCCCATGAGTAAGGTAGCACAGCCTTCTCTTTTGTACCAATGAGTCATTGCCCATGCCATGCTTCAATCTTGACAACCTGTCTGCTTGCCAATCTCATGTCCTTAGACTTGCAGAACATGCTCTAGCAGCAACGCCTTCCTCTTAAGCATGTCCCAACACGTCATAGCACGGTTCATGTAGTGACCTAATCCGGTCCCCATGTGGTCCAAACCCAAGCCCCCAAAAGGATTATTAAAAAGGTGGCCGTTGGAGGTGGCTCATGTCCTTAAGAATCAAGCAATAAGTCCTCTTCCATCAGACGTGAGATCAGAGCATCACAAACTTCCTAGTTTATGACACTGATGTCCTTCTCAATGTCGGCTCTTTAACCAAACACCACAATAATAATGTAGGATTCTACAGGTGCCTTGTAGGTTTAAGAGGCGACTCCTACCATGTAATACTTTGTTCCAAACAGTATCCAGAGGTGGCTCTTATGGCGTAGCACTGTCTTACATGCTCCTTAGTTCACACACTTCCTGCTAGTGCGTTGCTTGATACCATTTTATAACGAGCTAGTCCGGTCCACACGGATCAAGCTCCCAAAACAAGTACTTAGGTAGTGGCCTATGGGGTTGGCTAAAATCAAGGCATTACAGCTCAAGGTCCAATTCCTGTGCCAACATTTGTACCACATGCTCAAAGGTCTAATTGATAGTATAGAGATAGAGATGAATATATTTGGAGGAAGTTGGGTATGACCTCAATCAAAGGTAAAATGAGGAGAGCTCATTCAAGGTTATCTGGAAATGTGAAACAATGGTCTTCTGATCCTCCAGCAAGAAGATGTGAGTACATGATGGATATGTAGTTTAATAACAGCAAGAGAAAACCCGTAAGGACATGGGAGAAACAATAAGGAGAAAGTTAGAGTACTTAAACCTTACATAAGACTCAGGTCAAGAGAGTGCACAATGACAGATGAAACAAAGCCGACCACACTTAGTGGGAGAAGACCTAGTTTTTGACATTGTTGTTGCTAGTTCTCCACTTTTACAAAGGAATGACAACACTAGTATTTGAACTTTTGTCTGTTTCACAACCGAGTACCTAAATGTTATTTTTTTTGTTGAATCAAGTACCTCAACTTTTCAAATGTGAGTCGATCTGAGACCTCCTTTTATTAAATGGTCGTCTCTTGTAATTTTACTGACGTGGCTCGTTTACTTAGCAAAACTTAAGCCCAATTGGTATCTGCTCAATTATGCCACTTCCATTTAGGTGTTGAGTGATGAGGAGAGAGAGTATTGACTTGGACGATCTTGGCAATTCAATGACTGTTGACATGATATCATTTGAAGAGGCCAACATCATATGCCAATGCAGACAATTAATGGCTATTTGCCAGCATTAGTGTCCAATTTGGTATTTTCTGTCTGCAATTTTAACAAAGGCCTCACATTGATCCACATTTGAGAAGTTGAGGTATTTGATTAAACGTTAAAAGATTTAGGTACTTGATCGTAAAATAGGCAAAAGTTCACGTACATGCGCAGTCATTACCCCTTTTATATATGCTATTGCTACTAATATGTCCTTGGCACTTAATGACCCCAGTTGAATTGCAATTGCAATAGAATGATTGCTTCAGCTACTGCACAATGACCCGATAATCCTCTCACTTACGTTTGCATTAGTTTTATGCACGCATAATTTGATTGTAGGAAAGGATAGATGATAAGGTGGGTTAGCATTTCTTTACTTTAGTCTCTTTAGCTCATTGATTGAGAGTATTGATATTCTCAAACCTGGGATCATGAGCAACATTTTCTCTGAATCTTCATGAATTCCCTGTTTCCAGATGATTGCTTGAACCCAAAGAATTTTGTTTCTCCTTGATGCCAGGTAAAAGAGAACCATTCTTCAGTCAAATTTTGCTTATCCCTTCAACTTGTTGAGGCACAAGAGGCTTCTTTGCATCTTTGCCATACTTTTTCTGAACTTCTGACTTGACTCTGCAAATGCAAAGGCAAGGACATTAGCGCTACTTAGCCAGTTGCAAGTGGGATAATCTAAAAAGTGAGTGATACATCTTTGGGTGGTAAGGCGGTTAGTTGCCAGAACCTTTCCCTCTCACTCATCTTTCGTACGACTTTGAGGTGCTGATGCTTTGTACATTTGGTCAAATTAGAGAAGCAGGTCATTGTTGCCCATTTATGTATTTAAAAGCAACTTCCATTGTCATTGATGTTATGTCATACCTCTGTTATGTAAATCTTTTCCTTTGTTACATACCTAGTTGGTCAATAGAGTGATCTAGTAAGCTTGTAAAACTTTGGAAACTTCACCTGGATTTATCAAGTTAATAATATTGAGAATGATTTGGATATTATTAAGCCCATATTAGTTAAAATCAGAGGTTCTTAATGAGGAGTTCCTCTGTCAGAGAGGTTCTTTGTAGCTTTGATGCCATTTCCCAAAAAGTTACCTTGCCCACTTCCTTGGTTGTTCTTGTAGGTGTCATTCTGTGCTTTGCATCTGAATATGCGCACAGGATTTAGCTGACAATTTTTGGGAACTTCATATAATGGCAGCCTTTCTCAAGAATGAAGAGCTTTGAATTGTAAGGTTACATATAATGACTTTCTCCCAAATATCCTTCCTTTGTTCATGAGAAGCTGCTTATTTGAGGAAAACGCTAGACTTACATCCCATGAGAGATCTTGTTTGAGCGACAAGTTACACTTGGATTACATCAAAGGAGGAGCTTCTTTCATTAGCCAGTCCCTCTTTAGTCAATGGGAACTTTACTTTCGAACATAAAGCAAAGGCTTGTTTCCATCTCCTAAAGACTTAGCCGCTGGTTCTCTCATTGTCACATAGCATATTTGCTTGATGGAGTATAAATCACCGTCTATACAACTATTGACAGCTAATTGGCCAATCGATACACATTGGCTTCCCTCGCTTAATCCATTGAAGTCTTCCATTACTAGACTTCAAAGGAAAGGGTCTTCCACATTCTATGATAACCCCTGCTACACTGCTCTTGCAGTCTATCTTTTGTGTAATTTTCTTGTCCGTCATCTATGCTTCGAGGCTTTGGTTAGACATTAAGTCTCGAAGCCTTGAATTATGGACTTGTCACCATTATGCATGAATTGGTTGATGAAGAATCCTGTGTGAAGTTTCTTAGCTTGAATAATGACTTTCAAGTGAGTTAATCGAATTCCCTCTTCCACTCAAACAATCAGACTCTATGTTTATTAAAAAGGACTAGGGTTAAAAAAATTCTGATCATCACCATTAAAATAAATATTAATACGGTGAAAAACTTATGTAAACAGCAAAAGCAGATTGAGATGTTACTTGGTAGTATACTGTGGTTAACCCAATTTAAACAACAACAATATGTTTAGATTGTGTGGAACTAGTTTTAGGACCTGGACTGTCATATCTCCAATCCTTGCGGCAAGTGCCATTTTTCAGCTACATTAGTTACTACGTTCTTAGAAGAAAAGTTTTATTTTGAACTGAATCTCGCAAAATCTCTGTTGCCACTTTCTGGGATAGGCAAAGTTTTGTATGCAGCTAATCTTTAATTCTAGTGCTAAAGCATGTTCACATTAGTTACTGTATTGTTCATGCATGTTTTGCTAGCTCAAATGATAAAGAGAAACATTTTGACGGTGAAGTGGAGTATTATGCAGGTGCAGTTTTACAGCTAGGATACGCAAATATTAATGGAATGACCAAGATTTCACAGGATGCTGATGCCATTTTAGTGTAAAATGAGTTTTTTAAAAGCGAAAGACATCTCAAGTTTCTGTGCAAATTTTGTAGCAAAAAGAGGTAGTCGTTTCAGATTCTTGCCTTGATTTCTGAAGCTGGATTAAGTAGTTGGTGGCCTTCCCCCCTTAACTCCTCGTAACGTTCTAGCACTGACTGCATACTGCGAAATTGAAGTTTATTGATAGAGATTGACTACTATTTTTCATTGTTATAGTACTATACGTGGTATTACTTCCAGAATTGTAAATTGAATGAACAAACAAGTTAAGGTACATCTGCATGGTGCAAATGCGTAAGTGCCCTAATGTCAACCCCAAATCCTCGTCAACCTTTGAAATATCCACTGAAAGTTGATACCGTTACTACTCAAATCACCATTGAAGTGTGTGAGACCTAGCGGATTTTCCCTCTGGTTGTACCCATTGAGATCCATCATCTCAGGTCATCGTACGACTTTTTTGGATATTTAAATTTCAAGAAGAAGATTACTGGCAAACATGCAAAGTGGAGTCCATTTTTGGATTAATTTAACGTTTCATAGAATTTCAAATCGGGAGAATCTAATGTATGAACAGACGTGTTGAGCTACCCCTATTGTTAAGTATGTTGAGCATTAGTGTTATGAGCTTTGAACAGCTAAAAATTGAGTATTACATTGATCCTAATTGCCACAAGAAGCAGCAAGTGTGGAAGTTTTGGCTTCCGGTTGCATGGTGGTCATCTATTTGAAAATAATCAGCTATGCAGTCCAGAATGTTCTTTATATGAACAGATTGTTTGAGAATCTTAGGAGGACATTTTAACAGGGATAAGACCAAGAAACTGACGGCCGATTGTCATTTCAACCGAGAATGTACCAAGACCTGAGAAAATTGGTGAGTGTATTTGTCTTCTCAGATTGGCAAGGGGAACTCAAAGAACAAAGGTTAATACCTGCATTCAGCAACACCAGAAGAACCTTTGATTCATTTGATAAGGATAATTTCAACTTAGGACTTCCATAGCCAACGAATGGTATGTGTCTCATTCTTGTTGCAGTGGATTGGTTGTTAACAAAATGGCATGCTTCATTCCCTGTTCGAAGTCATCTGATGCAACGGACGCCGTTAGTTTTTCCTTTTCAGAAGTTGTGAGGCCATTGTTGGACTTTCTCATCTTTAAAAATATGGTTAGACAGAAATGGTTAACAGAAGCTCCGGTGACATGACAAAATATCTTACTGGGAAGATGAGGAGTTGGGATTTTGGCATTTCTCAGGCGTACTTTGCCTAAAAATAAGTGAATGGAAGCGTGAAGAAGACCCCATTTGGGGCATATATGTAGGTCGAATCCGCAACATTTGCTTGTTCTTGTTCCATTTTCACAAAGAGGCTAGAACAAACGATGATGATAAGGCTTTTGCAGAACATATTCAAAGGGTTTTTATGAGGAGGTAATAGCAGAACTGAAGGCTAACAATAGAACGTATTGGATGAAGGAATTTCAGGAGGGAGACTCGGTACATGTTCATTTGAAGCGTGAGAGGTTTCCTAAGGGTGATCACGACGGATTCAAGTCCACGAAGTTCGAACCTTCTCAAGTGTCGAAGAAAACCTTACTTATATCGAAGAGGTACTATTCAGGTTACAGATTAGCCTAACTATAATGTTTCTGACTACCATGGTTTTGAGGGGATTGACAGAAAGGTTGCTGCAGTTGAAGATCAAGTTAGTCAACTGCTGAAGAATCTTACAGACGCCGTTGAAGATGTGTTAAATGTTGAAGGAGTGAGTTAGACAACTCTCATAGAGATTTTTGGTGAAATGGCTAGGGAAACCTACAAGTGAAAGCATTTGGATTTTTTTTTTAAACTTTCACCATCGAGCTTAATTTTTTTGGCCCATTTGATGCAGGATTATAATCAAATCCGGACCATCAAACGCAACCTAAGTGTCTTTTTTCTCGTTCAATCTTTTCTTAATTTGTTAGGATCATAGGCTCGTTATTATTTGTAATTGAGGGTTGAGATTGTCTTATGTCCACAATCTCGCATAAATAGGTCTTTTGAGTCAATTTCTCTTTAGTTTTTCTCTAAATCCCAGAATATGAAAAATGCTAATTGTATATGACAGACTATCATCAGATGTAATTTTCGACAACCCTTTATTTTCCTCTCCGATTGTCAATTTCCATGCTTCGATATTTAAGGCATATCTAGCTTATGCATAGGTGCAACTTCCTTGGATTTGAATATTGAACCACACCTTTAGTCTGAGTTTTTAGATTAGTCGATGGCAATGTAAATTGCAAAACAAGTCCCTACCTTCATTTCTTTTTTCAAACTTATCCCCACCTTTCGAATTTATCGAAATATATCATATTTTTTGAGATTGCATCAAATCTATCGATCCCACAAGTAAACTCCCTCGATCAAAAAGATATTTTACTCACATTTTTTACCCTTTCAGCACTAGATTGCCTTACCCTTTAAGGCTATGCTTTCATGAAAGAAAACCTAGTTTTGTAATCTTTCTTCATATAAAAATCAAATAAACATTTTCAATATATGAAAATGGCCGATCTAACGCCGGATTATCTTCTCCCATGTATTATGTCTTTTACTTTACTTTTTCTTTTTAGTTTGTTCAAAAACTTCCTATAATAGAGTTTACGGCCTTATTTAACGTAGTCCATAGAAAGTTTACGTTGTGCTTGTATAGCACGTTTCTAGATGCATTTCTGTTTCGGTGCAACGGAATTAATTTTTATTTATTTCCCATAGGATTTATTCATCGAAAATGATGATTATTGACATCTAACACATGGTACAACCATCTATATTTCTATTCTCATATGTTCATAGTACATATTCGATTTGAAACTAGTAAAATCTACTTATCCAAAGATAATCTTATCTTATTACGGTATTTAGACATTTTTCCATGAATCACGCATACATAATTTCTATCTCATACAGGAGATACTCTTACTCTCTTAAAGGGGAAAAATGTAAAACCAATTTCTACTCATCCGAAGCTCTTTAAATTGTTACAATCTTTTGGAACCTAAGTCCATAAAATTATGAATGAAAGTTTCGTCAATTCATATATCCTAATTTCATACAAAAGGCCAAACTAAACAACCAAAGAAAAAAATTAATGGGTAAAGCTAGCATATGGTCAAGCCACTTAACGCAATTACACGCGAAATTTACCCACTTTTATATTGATATATCTATTGAATCTATTATTATGGACTCAATTTATCTTCTATATTTATCTATAAAAGTTTTGTTATGACGTATCTTAGTCTTCGGATCGGATCCTATGACTTATATATTATCCAACAACGATTGATAGCACAAAACACTAACAACATGTGAATCTGTGAAGTTGTTTTGGAAATGACACTGACGAGTTTGTCATAGCCTTTTGAATTTGCTTGGTATTGGATGTTTTGTGCATTGAATTTCTTCTGTTCATGGCAATTTTCACTTGTGATAACGCTGGCACTGACATCATGAGATCAATGTTAGATGAATATGTGCATAACTACTAAACAGTTTTCACTGCCACTTTTACCATATATGGAGTTAAAGTTACTGTCAATGTTGATTTGCTTTTTAACGTACTTCATTTTACTTGTGGAAGCATTGCATCGTGGAGGGGTTTTCTTATTACCTATATACTATATTAACCTGATTTAGCAAATCATTAGAGTCAAATGTGAATTCTCCGGGGCGGACACCAAACTGAAGATTGAACTTGGTTTTATACAGAGTATGGATTCTTGTATAATTGAGGGAGTATCATGCTTTCAATCTGGAGAATTTTAGGGTTTCAACTTCCAAGAGAGTCTCTATTTAGACTTAGTCTAGAGATATTCAAAGAGAACAGAAACAGAGTCGGTGTTATATATATTGTCAGTGTAGTCATTTACATAATTTGTTGTCAATATATATTCATGTTTTGGTGAGGATCCATTTCAAGCATGTACTTTTAATATATCTTGGTTATCTTTGCAAGAAATTAATCTCGAAGAATTTGTATCTTTGAAATTTTGATTATAGTCATTTTGAAAGGAGCCAATTTTTCCCTAAACAATTTCTAGCCCACATCTATGATTGCTTCTTAAGACCTAATGAGAGCTGCCAAAATGGAGATACTAAGACAATTATAGGTCTATTGTATCAAATCAGCAAAACAAACAAATGAATATAAACCCAAATAAAGAGAAAAAAAAGTACAAAATTGAATTAGGAAAAAAAGAAACATCGCCCTCCTCTCAGACAATATATGCGAGAAGCATGCATATGTAAATGGAGAAGTGAGCAATACAAGGATCATGACATCAGAGGTTCCTCCAACTTTGGCTGATACTTATGCACATCAACACATGTTGTTATCACTAAAATATTTTCGGATCACCATTGCCAAAAACTCAAGAGATCAAAACCCAATATGATGTTGAAAAAGAACTGAAGCCAGTAGAAACTAGTCAATGACAAGCATTGTGCATAGCATAGAAGAGATTTGACTTTGAGGGAAGAAAGATGAGGAAGAGATCTAACCTAGAGCTCGCGAAATCGTAAAGCTTTCCGATGCCAGAGAAGATGATGACCCCCACCTCGGCATCGCAAAGTATGGAAAGCTCACTCGCCTTCTTGAGCAGCCCTTTTCTTCTCTTCGAGAATGTGACTTGCCTGCTCGTGGAGTCGTCGATTCTCCTCATCGTAATCTTTCCTCTTCCCATCTCTCACCACCTTTGCCTTCAAAACCTAGGGTTTCTCGCCCTCTTTATCCGTCAGATCTACGATTAAGCTCCAATCAAATCACCAATCTCTCATGAAACCACGCATCAAGAAACCTCACTTATTTCGCCACTAGAACAAGAGGAATGAAAGTCATGATTCTCGCTCAAGAATATTGCATATCAATTAAAAAGAAAATATACAAAAACAATCCATATCACATAAGTGTGAAATAGTGAGAGAGAGAGAGAGAGAGAGAGAGAGAGAGAGAGAGAGAGGAGCATAGCAAGAAGAAGAAGAAGAAGAAAGACGAGAATCCTACTTGCTGTAAGCCATGACCGAATGGACTGCAGAAACAAGGCTGAGTGTTTCTCTGGATGGCGTTTCTGATAAGAAAGGAACTCATGTTCTTTTTCCTGTCAAAGGCAAGTGAAACCTCGTATTTGAAGGGAAAAAAGAAAGAAAGAGGGGGAGCAGATTCTCTTCACCCAAGGAAGGGTCAGCTCTATTACCCAAGACATTAAAGATTAGGTCTCTACCACTCCAATGGATGCACACTCTCGCGAGTACGACCTTAACCAATACTCTCCTTCCCAAGACGCTCATCTGTCACTGACCACTGCCCAGTAAGCCTTCGAAGATGAGAGGCAGATCAGATGAGGACAGATGTCAGTCAAGCAAGGAGAGTACGGCTAGGTTTGTACTCGAGGGAAAAGACAGGAGTGCAAACCTCGTACTCTCGTACAGTTTGGCTCGAGATTCTTTGGGGGGCATGTGGACAGCGCCGTTATCTATCCACAATCGACCCCTTTTTATTTCGTACACCCCAAAAATAGAACTAAATTTTCACCAATGGTGATGATATACGCACTTCCAAAAACTTTTATTTTTCAGAAGAAGGGTACCGCTTGACAACAAGATTTGCACACTTATCGCTTGATTGACATTGTTTGGGACAATATTCTTTTCACTTAAAATATTCATTATATAAATGTTTTAAGAATTGAAATTGGCTCGGGGGTTCGGCCGAAAGGGGAGAAAAGAAATTATCTTGAGAGCGAGACCACTAATGCAATCCTTTTTTTCATCCTCCAATTTTGATTACTCGTGAGAATATTCTCTTCCACTTACATCATAAGCTTAAATGCAATTTCCGCGTCCGATGATCACCTTGGCGGCCTCCATCTCCACCATCTCCTTGATGGGCTCAATATTGCCCGAGTCTCCTATGTAATGGGAGACAGATAAGGCATCATCGCTGTTGAGTTCGCGTGACCACACCCGATGGCAAAGATAGAGATAGAGAAAGAGATCCGGTGCTCGAGCACCGGCCCTGGAGCGATGCACTGACCATGGTGATGATTGAATAGGCAAAGGTATCATCAATAATGTTGGGCCTCGGGTTAGCAGATAGAGGTCAAGAGTGTGTTGGGGGGAAAGGGTTAGTTTAACATGGTCAAGCACTAATAAGTTTGACATGACGTGAATTATTAATGCAGGATAGAGTGGGTGCTCTCTTTGTCGTAATAGAAAAGAATTTTTTTTAGTAACTTGTATATTTACCTAAAATGCAAGTATGTGATTTTTAATGATTCTCCTCCTTTTTATATGGTGGAGTCAATACTCAATAATGGCGTAGAGGTCAATGGTACTACTTTCATGGGCACTTCACCATTTTAGGATGAGAAAAGACATTTCCAAATACGCTTAGGGTGCGCATGAATACCATTCTGTGCCCGGGAACTATTTCTGAACAGAAATGATTTTTTTTATTCTGTGCCCAGAAATAATTTCTGTGCATTTGAAGGCGTTTGGTAAACTGTCCAAAATTTCTATTTCTGGAATAGAAAAGCGTTTGGTAACTACACACAAATTTCTTTTTATTAATAATATTTTAATAATATTTTGAATTGTTTAATTTTTTTTTCTTTTAACCCAGGCCATGGCCGGTCGCCGGCGGCCGGCCATAGCCCAGGGCCGGCGAGGGCGTCACGGCCCTCGCCGGCCGCCGGCGAAGGCGAGGGTCCCCCCTGCCGGTGAGGGCGAGGGCTGGACCCTCGCCGCCTGGGCGAGGTGGCTCGCCGTCGGTCATGGCGAGGCTCGGCCTCGCCTAGATCCGGCGAGGCCGAGCCTCCCGTCGCGACCCACGGCGAAGACGACCTCGCCGTGGGTCGCGACGGCGAGGTCGGCCTCGCCCGGATCGGCGAGGCCGAGCCTCGCCGTCGCGACCCACGGCGAAGCCAACCTCGTCGTGGGTCGCGACGGCGAGGCTCGGCCTCGCCCGGATCTGGCAAGGCCGAGCCTCGCCATGACCGACGGCGAGCCGCCTCGCCTAGGCGGCGAGGGTCCGGCCTCGCCCTCGCCGGCGGGGGACCCTCGCCTCCGCCGGCGGCGGCGAGGGCCGTGACGCCCTCGCCGGCCTTGGGCTGTGGCCGGCCGCCGGTCGTCTGCGACCGGCCACAACCCAAGAAGAGCAACACAAAAAGAAGAAAAGAAAAAAAAGAAAAAGAAGAAAAAAACTGATTCTCAAAATTGTGCCGAGAAACAAGAAGCAACTTTTTTTTACTTCTTGTTTCTCTTACAAAACTGTTTCTCGGCACAAATATTTGCAAAAATGTGCCCGGGAACAAAAAGTTTACCAAATGCATTTCTGTTCCCAAACTATTTCTGGAAACAAAAGAACAGAAATTTTCACTATTTGGCACGTTACCAAACGGGCCCTTAGAGAAATGATTAACTAACAGTCCTTAATCTACTACGAGAATAACAACATGATTTGGACCACAAAAATAAATAACAAATGATTACAAATTATTGTGGGATCCAGTCATTCAATAATTTGTGGCTCACAACGTACTGTTATTCTCATAGTGGTCCAAAGACCGTAATGCTAGCAGAGCCCATAAGCTTAGTACCCTTTGCTCACGTATCACTCCACGTCCTCAATTTTTAAAAGCTTCGATTTTAACTTAATGTGTGACAATAAATTTGTTGAGTTGAACATGTAAGGGTGTTAGACGAAAAAAAGTTCCAAATAAGAGAAGTGGTGCAATGTCGATAGTTAATATTTTTCTAGTTACCATATAACTCATTTGTTTAAGCTTGTGAATACGAGTAGGATCAATTATATATTGATGCAGTTGTGGAGGTGTGCGAGTGATGTTTTGAGTGATGTTTTGAGTGATGCTGAATGAAGTACAGATAGATAAGAGTGTACGGGAGAATGATTTGGATGGACAAATACAAATGCCAGATAGATGACGATCACCACCAAATCATAAATGACACACCACTAGCCAAGAATCAAGATTGGGAGACGAAGTTCACCACCAAGGCTTGATGTTCCCGCATAGATTTTTTATCGACTCGAACTTGAGCTTTTTCTAGGTAATTTTCTGAGTCAAGATGTCGATCTATGCCTCAGTACCCTGCGTATGGTAGCCAGATCTGATTTTGGATAGGAAAACAAATTATCTTATCCAGTGTTTGGTGACGTTTTCAAGACTGGATACATTCGGATAAAATGCCGGATAAGAAATCAGGCCTAGAGGGTGAGATAAATCCGGATTGTATATTAAATTTTAAAAATAACTAAAAAATTAATATTTTATCGTTTAATAGAGTCATAAAGTGATACATCGGATATTGCTTCACCGGCACCGCCTGCCCGAGGACCACCACCAAAATTACCGATCATTGTCACTTTCAACCACCACACGATCGCCGTCACCTCCGACCACGCCATTCATCAAGGGCGATCATGTTCCGACAAGTGAGGTGAAAAGGGGCCTAAAGACATCCTCGCATCGGGTTTTCATAGATCATCCTTTCCACCCCAATCACACATGTACTTCACGTTGAGCTCGACCTTTCACGCATGACTCATGAGCCAGCTGTTCACTTGTTGGTTGATGAAGAACAGCCAACACACCATTAGCTTCTTGGCGACCATGCTCACGAGCATTGAGTTCCACCTGCTATGCATCAAGAACGTTGCAACGGCACCGTGGTGTAGAACCTCCTCCCGTGGGCTATCCCACGATGCACACCTTCTCTGCTGTCGCCTCTCTTAGCCACTTTCTTTGGCAATGGAGTCCGTCTGTCTGACCCGTAGGAAGTGCCTCACACTGTGAGGCCGTCCCAAAATTACGTGAACTCGCGTCGCTTGAGAGACATCATGCTCCCGAGGTCGACTTCCTAGAGACGTGGTCGAAAGGGTTTGCGTCTCATGTACATGAGGAGCAAAGTTAGAGATGTGATTTTCAAAGATTTTTAAAGATTTTCAAATGAGAAGGATTTTCAAAGATTTTCAATTTTATCTTAGGCTTTTCAAATATTCCAAATCCTATCATGGGTTACACCAAACATATAATATGATATTTCTACAATCTAGGGATACGTGGAGGATTTCAAACCTATTTTATTTTATCCTATTCGAATCTAAATTCGGATGACCAAATGTAGTCTAAATTCGGATGACCAAATATCAGCCTGAGATGATGTAACCACTTTCTATATAATATAAAAAAAATTATATCGTTCGCATTGAAATCTCTAACTGCTCAAGTCTCACATAAGATGAAGTGATTGATGAGTAATTGACTAACCCGAAGGTTGCTTGAATACTCCTTTTTGAGGAAGTTTACATCGAATCGGTCAGAGTGTTTTTTTCAGAGGCAGACTTTTAGGAATGTAGCACGAATAGCAGAATCACACTTCCCATAGAGAGAGAATAGCCCATTTGTGATGCCTAAAGTCACATTGTGATCAGATTGAAGAATGTTTACAACATCATTCGTAAGTAAAGACAATGATTTGTAGGTAAAAACGACCCTTCGTCATTGCGATGCGCTCGCTTTCGTTTGGTAGGACGAAGCAATTAGCTAGTCTGAAACAAGATATTCTTAACATAATGAAGAGTTGGAGTTTGATTGAGAAGGCTCACCCACCTCAAATTTGTTTTTGAGAGACGTAGGATAACTTCTACCTTTATTAAATATTTGGTAGCTTACTCGCCCAATTGAATTAGAGAAATTGCAGCTGGACGTTAGTTTCAAGTGAATTTGGCAGTTCTTAACTCGTGAAAGAATTTTTGAAGCAAATGGTAGCTAGATTTGAGGGAAAAGTCTTTGATTGTTGGAAGAAGCTTGCGAAAGATACATTATTTATCCAATTCTAATGAGGACGATTCAAGAAAGCGGATTTTTTTTTCTTTGTTGGTAAATTTCTGAAAACGTTGATAATAATAAAAGATATGTTAGTAAAAAAGTTACAAATTATGTGATTTCAGATAACTTTATGGTAACACACCTCCCATTTAATGGAATTTCCAACTCTTTTTTAGTGTATGTAAATTACCCACTTTTCTTATCTTTTACCAACTTTCATTTGTCTTAATAATCCACGCCTTAAATATACTAACTTTTATAT